CAGCTGTCTCAGAGCTAGGGGGCTCCAGCAGTTACCAAGCAGCACTCAGCATGAGTGGCCCCAGCTCCCAAACAGTGCATAGAGCCCTGCAGCACCCTGCCGAGCCGCGCTGCACCCATACGATGCAACAGCTCAGTGGGGCGGAGAGGGGCGGGGAGGCCATGGAGCGGGGCTGGGGGAGTGGGCGGCAGGGGGGGAGCCGATGGGGGCTGGGGCTGGGATGGGGTTTCCCCCATGTCCCACTCCCTGCTCCTCCACACCCCCTGTCCACTACTTACTAGCAAAGAGCCCAGGTCCAGCTCCCTGTGGCAGCAAGCAGGGGCTGCCTGAATCTCTGCATTGATTCAGAGGCTTCCGATTCAATTTGGAAGCTTCCAATTTGATTCAGAATTTTTAATGGGTGTCCCGATTCAATTCGGATTTGGAGATTCGGCCCCGGACTCAGGCCAAATTGAATAGGCTACTGAAGCTTTGCACAGCCCTAACATCTGGGTCTTCCTATCAATGGAAACTACTGTTACACAAATAAATAGCAACTGTTACAAGCTCTAATTTCTTTTTTAATAGAATCAGTCAGTACAGTCATGAGCAGGTACTGGAAATACTTCGGGTTCTGTCTTTGTCCTGGCAATTCTGCCATTATGATATGCCTGCACTTATTGGGGCAATTTTCACAACTTTTATACCCTCAAATGTTGCAGTAATGCTTTAAAACTCTAAATCATATTGACCTTACAATGATGTAAACAGTCCTATACTCTTCCTAACTTAATTGGGATTCCAGCCATCATCCTGTAATCCAGATTAAACAGGATTTGCATTCCCTGCTATATAGTCTATTGAGTGAAATTGTGATTTGCTTATTTGCTTATCTCTTTAAATCTTTCAGATTTCAGGGGCGCTCTGCACAAGCATATGAACTTTATATTAGAGCTATAATTAAGTCTCTCCTACAGAAGTAGGATGCTCCTAAGTAGTTCCTCAAATTGACTATCTATAATAATCTCCACATTTTCGTACGAGTAAATAATCTTAGTCTCCTAAATGTGCCTTGAACAGGGGATGTCTTGGGCTCAGTTACTTTCTGGATTTTGTGTGCATGTCCTCATGTACTGGGGAGATCAGAAGGCGAGAAGAAATACTAGCTATGCCATAATATTAGGAACTATCTAAAACTGAGGGGGTAAGGCAATGTAAGAACATTCAAGTTTAGTAAGACCCACTGTAGCAATGGGGCCAAGCATTCTGTTTGCATAGCGGCCAGTATTAGATATTTCTGATAAAATATAAAACCCTAGTGACAGACTTTATACAATGCCTCCATGGTAATGGTTGTTCTTGGGTTTTCCTACATTCTGAAACACAAGAGGTGAGACTACTTTTAAGTCTTGGCCTTTCTTCCCAGAAAGAGAAAACAAAATACAGATTATGATCAGAAGATAAAGGAAGAAGGTTGGTTCTAAGCTGCCTTTATGCTCCCTGTAGAAAACTTGCATGTAGGACAGGGGCAGTGCCAACCTCTTTCTGGTTGGGGGGCTGGGGCGGGCTAAAGAGAAAATTGGCGGGGCTGCACTATATATATCTTCTGGCCAAACATACTTATTTGTTTTTTTTAATAATAACCACTTAAGGCACGGCACGTCTGCAGGCTGTGGGCAGGAGTGGGGTGGGTGGTGGCAGCTCGGGGGGGTTGGCGAGGGAGGGAGGGGACTTGGATAGGGGCAGTACTGGGAGGGGTGGCTATGGGGGTGGCTAAGGTGAATTTTGAGATGGCTATAGCCCCCCTCCCACCCCAATCCTCTCCCTAGTGCTGCCTCTGATGTAGGAGAAAAATGCATAGGGTTAGAGAGCTCCGGCTAGTAGACATGACTGTTGCAATAGAGCTCTTTTATTGCTTAGCAATGGAGTTAGCAATCTGGGTTAGCCAAAATTTTCCCTTTAAGGAAGAACTTCTGCATGAAGACGGAGAGTTCAGTAAACGCTAAATGGATTTTTCTGAAATGGCTATGTTTGCCATGTGGCTTTGACTAGCTGCTAGTGGGATTCATGACATTTTATTTTTTTGGGAAAATATCTTTTGACAGTTGAGCAGTGGCTATTGCTATTGCTATTCAAAAGTTAGTGTTATTTTGGTATTTTTTTAATGGTCCAATTCTATTTTTAATAGCTTAGTGTTGGTTGGACTTCCTGATTTTATTTAGTGAATAAAAATATCAACAGAGAAAGGACTCATAGCTGCTGCTGTGTTACAGACTGAGAAATCTCTGACAGAATGGTAACACCCACCTTTAGGCTCAGTTCTTCTTTAAAGAAAGATGACTATAAAAACAGTGCTATAGAAAGGTGCCTATAAGTGAGCAAAAAAGGTAATTTATTTTTAATAAGAATCAGGTTCTGTATATTTACAGAATAGTGAGATACTCTGAAAACTCTGACTGGTATTTATGCTTTATAGTGTATTACTTGAAATACCAGACATTTAACCCACCTGGGGCCTGGCAGCCAAGAGGTAGGTTAAAATCCTATTTCAAGCAGTCTCACATTCCTACAGCTGTTGTTGTGATTTCAGAGGGAACAATCACCTGAGGTAAGACTGGCCTTTAGTATATTAGACAATACAATGGTCCAGCAAGAATTCCTGAAGGGTTATGTTAACAAGACTAATTAGTGATTTAAAGCTGGTTCAGGGAGAGATGGCAAAATATATCAGAAGTAGGAAGGGGCAAAGATTATTGCACAAAATTTTTAATGACTTTGGTCTCTCCCCTTTTTTCATATACTATTTTGTTTATTCTGGATGGAAAAACCCAAATCATTTACTAACCCATCAAATATCTTCTTCCAGGTACATAGTTTAGAATCCAGTTGTGTCAGGTATTGAGAAATTCCTGCAAAGATACTGACAACCCTCAAACTGTAAAAAAAACAATAGAAGCTGAAGATGTTCAGTGCTTTAATAAGACTGGCTTCTTACAGAACATTGCTCTACTATCGTTATCGGTTTAATACGATAAATTA